ATGAGAATTTTGTTGGAAAACCCTTCTATATACATCCTACAGCCCAGATCTTGCTCTTTCAGACTTCCTTTTTTTTCCCCAAACCTAAAAAAAACATTGATAAGGAGGATGATTTGAGTCCCTCGAGTATACCAGTACTGTTGGCTACTTAGTTGGATAACACTGCAGTACTAACCACAAGGTTGATCATTCAAACCCACCAGCCTCTCCACTGGCAAACAATGAGGTTGTATGCTCCCTTAAAATTTTAGCCTTAGAAACTCTATTCATGGTATACCTTGTATATGTTGTGAAGTGCACTCACATATATATATAAAATCACATACCTATCTATACTTGAGTCACTGTGCTTAGTGTCATGGAAGAAAAACAAACAAAAACAAAAACCGTTTTTGTCCTTCAAGTTCTAAAACCAATAACAGTGAAGTTTACCTTGTGGAACATCAATCTTTACCCATTCGTGGAAGTTCTCTTTGTGGAACTGGAATGGTGGGGTTGTTAATGTCCCACTTTGCTAATGCTTTTACAAAAATTTAACATTGAGTTTGTTGGGATAAGATAATGTTTAGCAATCTTATACATAACTCAATTTCCTTTCTTTCTTTGCATTTTTATAAGACTTTTTGCCAACTGTACATTGTTCATGCTGAATTTGACTAAAATTGAGTTGTGGTAGAAAATTCCCCAGGGTAAGTTGCAATTTCATATTCAGTACTATGGGTAAAGAGTTGTTAAGAAGGACTGATGAGTTGATGACATTTCACAGGTTCAATAATTTGAGAGTGTCAAATAATGTGTGACTTAGAATCCAATTCCATTACTAACATTTAGATGAGGAAATAGAAACTAGACACAAGGACCTCAAAAAGGGAGTCCAGAAGCAAAACATGCTCCCAGAGCCAGTCTCTATGGGCACCATAAACATACACAGGAGTAGGTTTGTGTTTCAATTATGCACTAATTTCTTATATTTTGATATGTTGAATGGTATAGAAATAAATATATGTTTGGGAGTTTGAACATTTATATTAGTGATCTTAGCAACCCAGTTGGGAACCAGTAAAACAAGCATTTTAATTTTTATTTTACAGTGGGGAAACTGTTCTCAAAAAAATGTACTCAATATAAAAGCTAAATCCAGGTCTTCACAGTGAATATTTTCTGTAGCAAATTTCAACCTGTCCAAGAATCTTTCACGGAAATCCTGTTTAATTTGGCACCTAATAGACAGACCCAAGATAGAACTAATCATGGATTTGATAAGATCTCAAATTGCAAGATGAGTGTTTACACTGGTTTCTTCTATTAAAGTCACAATCAGGTAGGCAGCTAAAGTGACTTCATTTTATTTGTTATATTTACAACAGAATCAAGCCCTAAAAGATTTTTATTTTCAAATGCTAAACATATTCAATGACACCCAAGGGAACATTGTTGATAAAAGTTTAAACTTATAATTCTTTATTCCTTGAGAATACTTCTTTGAAATATGAAAATTCTAAGTGTGTTTTTTTTTGTTGTTGTTGTTATTGTTTACTGTGTGGTTTTGTGGATTAATGTGCCAGATTGCAAAGCTGTTTGAACTACAAGGTTGGTGGTTCAAGCTCACCAGTCAGTCCTTGGAAACCCTATACAGGGTCATTATGGGTCAGAACCAACTTGATGGCACTTAACAAAAGCAGCAAGGTAAAGACAATGGATTCAAACTAATACATCAATTATTTTATATCTATTACTAAAGAAAATAAAGATCTCTTAAGGAAATAAAATGAAGACCTCTGTGAAATTTTAAATAATTTTGTTATATACAAAAAAA